GAAATGAATAGATGAAGAAAATAAATTCTTGAAAAGAAAACGTTAAGTAGTTGGGCCTACTTTATTATTATAATATTATATAAAAGACTATCATACATATTTTCTTTCAGTCTAACAACAGTTCATATACCAAACATATCCTGTCGGCCATATTTATAACCAGAACCAGATACTCCTCTTCCTCCTTAAGATTCCAGATGAGTGTTCAAATTATACCAATACATAAAACCAAGTCATATTCTGATGTTCTGCTGCTAAACTGAACTACTAAACTAGTTTGCACAACCAGGTGATGGTAAGATGGAGAGAGGGAATGCTTTGTTGAGGACAGCAGAAGGGGCAGAATTATATAGTGTGACATGTTACTTGAAGATAAAGGCAGGTAAGCGTGCAAGGCTTGAGCATGAGTTTCATATTGTTGGATCCCTCATATGCACTTCTAATCCTTCTTTTGTGCTTGAACGCAGGGGAATGTACCAAGCCAGCAGGTGATGTGCTCCGTAGCAGCTTTGAGGTCTATGATTTGAATACTGTTTCAATAAATTAAATGATTATGTTTACTGCTGAGGACATTCAGGGGAAAAAAATATGAAGCTACAGATATGCCAATGTCATTCATTTGATTCAAAACATCAAGCAATTACGTTTTGAAAAGTGACCATGGTTACTTCACTCATCCTTAGAGAAGGATGTGTAACTAAAAGTTTTTTTTTTTTTGTTTTTTTTTTTAATTTCCAAGGTTGCATAAAGTGTCTGTCAAGACATTTATAATGATACATACTGTAATATATAAAAGTAAAAGTGATCATACAAAATTGTATTATACTGTATTTTAATTAATACAAATGTATTGCTAACCTAGTGTTTTGAAGGATAGAGACAAAGATTATTAAAGATCTAAATTGACAATTAAGTCTATTAATGTCATCTAATGATTCTTAGTCTAAATATGCCTGACAAGATTTTTTTTTTTTTTGTATATAAACTATTGTTAAATTGAATGACATTTAAATCGTGGTAAAATGTATAATAGTCATTATGTTTTGCTCTGAAAGAAAAAAAAATTAAACAGGACACATTCTAATGTACGAAAAAGAAAATTAATCTGTATTAACCTTTACTGTTTTGATGCTTTCTGCCTCAGCAGCCGTGAGACCCGAAACGCGGGGTGAGAGGCGCTCAATTCTCAAAGAGAATCAGGCATAGAGGCATTCTCAACGCGATCACATCTCGCAGCGTGGCTAATCTCCGTCGAGAGCCAAACACACTCTGTTCAAACACTAAATTCTCTCAAGAATCAGGCAAGAACAGAAACCGCCGCGAATGCATCGCATTAAGCTTGTTCAACTCCCTCGAGAGGCGAACGCGCTCGTGCAAACGCTGACAAAAACTCGAGTACAGACCTCTGCTCTAGTAGTTCCGCGAATGCAAACAGTGAGCGCATCCTTACCCCCGTGAGTCAAACGCATGTGCTTCCGTACACAAGGCTTGAAGACAAAGAAGAGGATGACGTTTTCCGCAGGTGCTCTTTTATACCCGCACTC